CCGGACCTTCCTATCAGCTGTCGTTGATGAAATCCTGCGCTCTTGCTCTGCCAAAGCACAAGTTTGCAACTTCGTACCATCCGCAAATGAACGGTCTTACGGAGCGCCTCAACCACACCATAACCGACATGCTTTCTAAATACGTAGCGACCAACCACCAGAACTGGGACGTTCATTTGCCATTTGTGACGTTCGCATATAATTCGTCACGTCACGACACTGCCGGCTATTCACCATTCTATCTTCTATACGGCCGAGAACCCCGCCCTACCATTTGACACCCTGCTGCCCTCGGTCACTGAGTATGCCGGCGAAGCCATTGCGCGAGCCGACCACGCACGCCAACTCGCCCGCAGCCGCCCGCAGGCCTCACAGGAGCACCAAAGACAGCTATACGATTCCCATCATCGAAACGTGCACTTTTCACCGGGTTCCCTTGTCCTCCTCTGGTCCCCCACTCGGCGTGCAGGGCTTTCTGAAAAACTGCTGTCACGCTACACTGGACCATATCGCGTCGTTTCGCCAGGTGACTGACGTTACATACGAGATCGTTCCAGCCGATTCAACGTCATCACCGTCACCTTCGAGTGACATCGTGCACATAGCTCGACTCAAACCTTATCACCCTCCTTCTAAGGCATCCGAGTTGCTCGAGCACCGAGACGGTGCTTCTACCGCCGGGGGGTTATAATACACAACAGCCGGCACAGCCTGGCTGTAAGAAAGAGAAAGCCGACGTTGGTGGCTGGTTGTTGATGAACTGTCGCCATCTTGTTCGCCGAGCACGGTGCATCGTACTTAATCGTATTTATTTAATAAACAAGTTACCGTAATAAATATATATATATATATATATATAATATATATATATATATATATATATATATATATATATATATATATATATATATATATATATATGGTTACCTATTTTGAGGAATAAACATTGCTGCACGTTAGCGCCTGTTTCGTCTTTCTCTGTCCATGCTTTTTGTGCGAACTGCAGTATACGAGCGAGCTTCACAGTGATCCTGTGTCGGATTTCGGATGTCTTCAGGCGCTGTCCAGTAGAGAACTGTCGAGCACTGGTAGTGTTGTTAACGTGGCACAGTTCTTTTCCCTGGAACTCTCCTCTTCAAATGCTCTTTGGATGCGTGCCGAACATTAAGGACCATAGGCGTGCACACGGGGGGGGGGCGCCTCTTTTTGGTTACCTAAGAGGAGGGGGGCGCAGAATCAGCTTTATAGTGCACTAGAAGCGAAAGTTGAGCTTGTGATGGTTCAGGCTTGGATGTAAAAACAGTTTGAAAATGCAACAAAAAGCAGCGCAGTTGCCATGCTGTGCCATGCAACTATTTCCTTTGCCTGATGTATGTGAGTGTTCATTCTAATAATTTTTAGTTTCGAGTTCAGCGCCATGTCACCCTTCTTCAACCTTTGTCTATTTCGTGCTCGTTTTACATCCAAGCAGCTCCATACATTGACTTAGCCCCCCTCCCCCCTTTGAAGGGGAACCCTGCGCACGCCTATGCTACGGACGGATTGAGTAGACCCCAGCCGCATAGCTCTGCTACTCTTCTCTCTACAGCGAGCCCCTGCTCCAGTTCTCCCCAAGGAAATTGCCATTATGAAAAAAAATGAAATAAGGAAGTACCTAACAGTATTGGCAAATACTTGGCAGTTTAGTGAACATCATAGATATAAATGTAATCGAAGACATGAACACCACAGATACTCAAAGTCGACAATTATACAATAGTTAAAATAACCAGTAGCTACACTCAACCTACTTAAGCTAACTTGAAGTGCGCTAACAGAGGAGGACCGCTAAAACATGTGTTAATGTAAAACAAGCGCTTCTTTCTAACAAAAGTAGGTTTCTGGACCGCTATTTAACATTAGGCGTCGGCTTAATTGCTTTTAGTGCCCCTTTAATAACACTTTGTCTTCATTAGTAAAGGTAAATCAGGTGTCCGCGAGGTACTGTGTTAAGGCCAATCACATTCGTAGTTTAGGTCAATGAACTAGATAATCAATTGTCATTCTCAATCAGACTTTTTGCAGATGATTGTGTAATTAAGAAGGAAATTACTAACCATATCGATGTGAGCACGCCACGATCGGACATTCACTGAATAACCCACTGGCGCTATCAATGGGAAATGGAAATAAATGCTTTCGGTAGGGAAGTACGTTATATTTACAAGAACTACAAAACCTGAGTGACATTCTTACATGATTAACAATATACCAGTAAAAAATGTTCACACAATAAATACTTAGGCATTTACCCTGCACCAACCTCTCATAGAATACTCACGTTGAGGCAATAGCCAGTAAGGCTTTAAGAGCTCTAGGATTCATTAAACGAAATTTGCACTCTGCTAACCAGCCCACCAAATTTCTTGCATACACAACTTTACTTCGCACGAAAATGGAATGCGCCGCCCTTATTTTATATACCAACTAGCAACACCTTATTCATAATCTTGAGGTCATTCAAAACAAAGCAGCCCGCTTTAGCACAGGAAAATATTCCCGGGTATATAGCATAACAGCTATTAGAACGTAGTGAAATTACCTGTTCAAGAAAAACGTAGGCTTACCGCACATCCGTCTCATTTCCACAGCCTTTAATTCAGTGATTCATCCTTCTTACATTCACAGATTAAACCAGCTCATTGCATTTTTCCACACCTGGATCATGCTTACAAAATTCAACCCATGTTTGCCTGTGCTAACTTCTTTTGTGACTCACCATTGTTCTTGTGATTTATTATTACAATAAACTGCCAAGCGATGATGCAATGGGGTGCAAACATGGCCCATATGTCAGCTGATTAAAGCAGATGTCGAATGTTGAAGTGTAATACTTAGTAGCCTTTTTTATTGCTTAGTCTAGTGCCAATATTACTGATTTAATGCCTTGTTTCATGCCTCGCTGAGTGCTGCATCGCATTACCATATTTTCTGTGATGCGAATTTGTGCTTTTACTTTTCTCTCTTTCGCATGTTCTGTGTAAACATTTTTTTTTTGTAGACATAACCCTGCAATATTGTAAGTATCAACCGCCCTCGTATGTAAGACCACATGGGCCTTAGGGCATATGAATAAATAAATGAAGGAATAAATAAATCCACAAAAGTTCACAGCGTATCTGGGGCTTGCAGCATTGCAGAATGACTTGTTCTTGAGCTAGTTGCAGTGGTGCTTGCTAATAATCACAATGTAGTGAGAAAAAAACACAAACAACCTAGACAAACTCTGTGTCCTCAAGCAGCTGCGTATGTGGTTCTGTGCGTCAATTGTGTCCTTTCTCTCATTATGATTATTAGAACAGCGTTATGACTGATATGCCGCAAGATTCTTCTCACCTGGCTTTACCGCAGCCTAGTTTCGTGCTCAGCTTCATGTATAAATGTGTCCGTGTATACAACAAGGCAAAATTTGTCTTAGCCTTTGTCTAGCAAACTTCGAAGTAAATTAGAAGTGTGGCGGTTTGGGCTAGTTGGTATGACATGAAGATAGTTATAGCGCGAGAACAGAGTGACGACAACTTCTTCTTGTCCCTTTGTCGTTGTTCTGTTCTCGCGCTATAATTATCGTCTTAAGAATGAAATATTGACCATACCGACATAATTCAGCAAAAGCCATCAATGGAAGCTTACCAGTCTTCTTCAGCCACTTGGAAATTCTCGCCCAACTTCATCAAATTCCATCCAGCTGTTCCTTCCTCAGGCATAATCGTATACGTCCCCACATACGAACTGTGCAGCGGCCTACTTTCTACAACGCAACAGTGCTGGCGCGGATGAAGTTGTGTAACGTACAGGGGGCATGTCCCTGGGCAGACCCGCATCTATATGCCAAAGCCATGGCACAGGATAGCGCGGCATTGTACAGAGCATACGTGTCATGGCCTTAAATGTAGACCACTCGTGTGCAAGGGGTGATCTAACTTTATCAGACTGCGTAGTATTACAAAAGGTGGTCATGGTCACCATTCTAAAGTTGGATGACATTCAGTTTAAGCGACTGAAATGGGTTCTTGGACTAGCTGGTGCATGGTCGAATAAATATTGACGGTATAAATGAAAGAGGACAAGATGATATGTGGGGTTTAACGTCCCAAAATTATGATAGACGCCGTAGCGGAGGACTCCGGAAATTTCAACCACCTGGGGTTCTTTAACGTGCACCAAATCTGAGCACATGGGCCTACAACATTTCCACCTCCATTGGAAATGCAGCCACCGCAGCCGGGATTCGATCCCACGACCTGCGGGTCAGCAGCCGAGTACTTTAGCCACTATACCACCGCGGCGGGGCGAACGAGGACAAGAAACGATAGTACTGACGCCGACTAACAACGGATTTGTTGGAAATAACCTTGCATCTCAGGTAACTTCAAACGCGAGTCTGTGTAATCACCGTTACAGACTGACAGGCGTTCTTCAGTTATGAAGACTGGTCTAAGAAGTGAAATTCGTGGTTATAAATTGCTGCGCGTCGGTGAGTCATCTATCAATGTTTATAGCAGCAAATTGCACTTTTACACAACTCTTGATAACTTGAGGTTGTATGTCAATTTGTAACAGTGATTACCCTTGTGACACGCACATGGGCTTAAAGTTACCTAAAATGCAAAGTTATTTCCAACGTATCTGTTGTTAGTTGGCGCCAGTCCTGTCGTTTTTTGTGCTCGTTACTTTGCGCCTCCAATATTTCTCCGACAACGCACAAACTACCCGAAGAACGCATCAAATGTATATTCCTCACGAATCGAGAACATCCGGTGGTCGTCAAGCGTACTTTCAGGTTACCACCCCATCGCAAGAAAATAACACACGTGACCACGCGATTACGTCACGAAGTCGTATAACAAGTCACTTTAATTTAAATTAAAATAGCACGGACTCAATGAATCCTAACATCAAGCCACACCATGCTCTCGCACTCAATGCCAGTAAAGAGACAGATGCATCTGCCACTTCTTCAGTCAATCTTCCTCAGCATTGTGCTTGGCGCTCATGTGATTCACGAGCGACACGCGCCTCGAGAACGCCCTGTGGCACACGTTGCACTGATGGGGCTTCTCGCCAGAGTGCTTGGCGAGATGGACGCGTAGTTGGTACTTTTGAATGAAGTCGGTTGAGCACAGGTGACACACGTACGGCCTCTTCGCCGAGTGGTTGCGCACGTGACTGTCGAACTTTTTGCCCGAGACGAACTTCATGCCGCACATGAGGCACTCGTAGGGAGCCTTGCGCTTGTGGCCCGCCGTGTGCGTCGTCATCGCGAACCTGGTGCCGAACGTGGCCGGACACAGCGAGCAAGAGTAGGGCCTCTCTCCGGTGTGGCGGCGCCTGTGGTTCGCCAGGACGGCGTTGCGAGTGAACCTCTGGCCGCACACGTCGCACTCGAACGGCCGCTCGCCGGTGTGCATTCGCTTGTGGCGCTTCATGTTCTCCTTACGAACGAACTTGTGGCCGCACTCCGAGCACGTGTACCGTTTCTCTCCGGTGTGCGTGAGCTGGTGTCTTTTCATGGCTCTCTTGCTGCGCAACATCTTTTTGCAAAAGCCGCACTGGTGTTCTTCAGCCTTGGAATCCTCACCACTCGACTGCACTTTCTTGGCTTTCTTCAGATGGGATGATCTGCATAACGAAAATGTCAGAGGCTTTTTGTGGCAGAAATAAAAAAAAAGTCACAGCTTTGACGCAAAGGTGAAGCAATGAACGCGATACCAACAAATTATAAGGTCACGCTCGGAATGGAAAGCAGATAGAAACGTGCCCCACGTTTCTCGCGTACGAATTACGCACGAAACGTACTCACAAGTGCGGATGCAAGCGAATAAGCGTCTCATTTGTTACTTCGCCGAGTCTAAAAAGCGCGCGTTTTGCGCGAAGGGAAACTGCAATGATTGCCGTGACATTTTTGCGCCCGGTAACTACAGCAGAATTGTTCCACGTAAAGCCCGAGGCCAGCCAAGGCGTACGATCCTCTCCTCCTAACCACCGCGAGATTAGGGGTTCGTTCCAATATTCACCATAGACTGCTAAATACACAGCTAGAAAGGCGGCAATCTTAGGTCTCATTCCAATTCTCACGTACCCGGCAACATAGACAGCTCCGAGAAGACCGAATCGTAGGCAAACACGATGCAGGCTACTTTGCTGTCTAAACAAGATGACAGCTCAGCGAATTACTCAGGTAGATCAGATCTCACCGGAATGGTCGTCTGCACCGAAGCAAACGCTTCCGCAGAGGCTCAATGTGCGTAAAGTTTATTTTTTAAAGATTTTACACGAAATACGGCAGAAAATAAACTTTTACGCTTGTTTATTTTGGCTTTTTCTTTTCGACACGAGGTGGCGCATTGTCGCGTAAAAGCAATTCAGACGTGTTCCTATTCCCGGACAGCATGGGCTTGGTGCTGCCTTCTAAGCAGTCTGCGCAGAATGTCTACGTACTGTCTAAGAATTGGAACACAGCCAAGGGCGCGCGAGGGAGCGTTGCTCCCCTTCTCTAAGCCGAGAAAAGTACGCGTAGGAAATTAGAGCGGGCGCCTCTGTGCGATGTGGCGATGGGCGCTCATGGCGCCATCTTTTCGGTAATGCCGAAAGCACAGCAGTGAAAGTGGTAGATATAAAAAGCTTGCCGTTTGAACGGTAAAGAACGTTCACCGGGGTGGTCCAAGTTGTTAACGCCTCACTTTCACTACGCAGATGTCCCACGTTCGATTGCGCACATTCGAGTGCTTTCTTTCTTGCGTTTTCACACACACACACACACACACACACACACACACACACACACACACACACACACACACACACACACACACACACACACACACACACACACACACACACATATATATATATATATATATATATATATATATATATATATATATATATATATATATATATATATATATATATATATATATATATATATATATATATACGCGTATGTGCCAGTGGCGGCGACAACGAAGCAGCATGAGTGTCCTTGGCCGAGGGCAGAGACGAAGAAGGCGTTGCAGTCTTTGTCCTGTGATCGATAAAGCGTATTTGTTTGACGTGCTTTGTGTGCTCGTCGATTCCGCGTCGTCACACTGGTGGCGGTGCTGGGTAGTCTTAACGCTTGGCACCCTTTCGCGGACCCGACATTCGAGCTCGGAATCACTATTACGCGTCGACACCCCAGTCCACCGTTTTAGGTCGCCGTCTGCTGGGCCTGGCTCCCGTGCTCAATCCTTTGCGAGAAACTGCCAGCAATCACTTGCCTCCTTCAGCCACCATGGCCACTGCCGCTCCAGTGCACATGACACTACAGAATCCCATAATTCCTGATTGCTTTCATGGTAAGACTTATGAAGGCGCCCAAGATTTGCTGGACCAGTTTGAACGCTGTGCAAAGTACAACCAGTGGGCAACACCAGAAGACAAGCTCGCGAATGTTTAGTTCTACCTGAAAGGCAACGCCCAGACGTGGTACATCAACAGGGAAAGAAGCTTGGCTATACTTCCGCAACCAGCGTGTTGACACCTTTACTAGTCTCGACAGAAAGGAGAATGCGCAAAGTCTCTGGGAAGCTCGCCTATTCAAAAACCAAATGAGAGCATTGCTATGTTCGCTGAGGACATGTGCCGTTTTTTTCGGCAGGGCAGATCCCCAGAAGCCGGAAGACAGGAAGCTGCGGTATCTAATGCGAGGCGTGAAGAAGCAACTGTTTGTTGGGCTTGTGAGAAATCCACCAACCACAGTAGCTATGAGTTCACGAAAGAAGCCACAGCTATTGAAAGGGCCCTACAGCAACGGTACCGCCAGCAGAACCCGGTCAACTTTCGAGCGAGTAGTTTGGTTGCGGCTGCGGCGAGCCTTTCAGACAACGACAGGCCTCTGCGGGAAGTCTTCCGGGAGATAATTAGGGAAGATCTTCGCCAGCTTGGTTTCATTCCAGCAACCGAACCGACGCCGGCATTGTCCTTTGTCGCCGATGTTGTCCGAGATGAGGTCTGTCAGGCTTTCTCTTCGTCCGCCTATGGTGATGTGCGACGACATCTTACTTATGCTCATGCAGTACGATGCCCCGTTGTCGCGCCTTCAGCTCAGTGGACTCCAATGACTGAACCACCACCAACCCTGCAAACACAGCCGCTCTCAGCGCCGACGACTATCCAACCTCGTCAATTTTTCCGACAAGACAAATGCCATATAGCCATTATGCGAGTCCCACAACATAGCCCAGTAGTGAGTCCCCACCTACCCATTAGCGTCGAAAAACTGATTTGTGGCATACCGCTGACCGTCGACTGGTATGTTTTCATTGTGGCGAAGCCGGGCACGTCTACCGAGTTTGCAGTTATCGCGATGCTCAGTATTCGAGATTTCCTCGCTACTCTGATTACGATACGTACGACGATCGACGCATGTACAATGACGCCCCTGTGAACAAACTGCCGCAGAATACAGTAATGCCTGGATCACGTTCTACATCTTCAGCGCGGGCCAGTTCCCCTAATCGTCGTAGTTTTGCCGACGTCACCAGGGGCACGTCCCCTTGCCCGCGATGGGGAAACTAGACGCAGCGGCCTCGGGGGGTAGGGTTAACAATAATTGAAATTCCGAACAGCCTTCATTGCAGACAAATGACAGCTCGAAGCCACCGATGGCGAAGAAGACGACAGCAACGACTAATCCGACGAATGAGACAACTGCCGACGTAACCTACGTTTCAGCGCTGACCTCGTCGTTCACATTGACAGCCACAGAGTCACGGCTCTTGTCGACACCGGCTCCCACTTTTCTATAATTAAGCCTACAGCTAGCCAAAAGATTAAGGAAGGTGAAGATGCCATGGCATGGACCAAATATAAGAACTGCAGGAGGTCAGTTGATGACACCGGTTGGAAAGTGCACGGCCCGACTCTTCATCGCTGGTTCCACCGTTGTCGCCACCCTCGTCAATCTTCACGAGTGCTGTAAACAGCTCATATAGGGAACAGATTTCTTGTGCGAATATGGGGCTGTGATTGACCTCCGCGACAGAAGCGTGACGTTTGCTATAAGCTCAGACACTGCTACTGATGAGGAACACCAGCCACCTCACTTCCGTATGGCCGATGGCGACGTCATACTGCCGCCACGAAGTTGCTCCCTCGTATCCATGCACTGCGACATCTTACAAAATGGTGCTGGCATCGCTGAACACATCAAGGAGCTCACATTTACTAGCGGCATTTCTATTGCCAGGGCTGTCGTCACTGTTATTGACGGATGCGCTGAACTCTTGTTTAAAAATTTTATCAGAGAACGCCAACACGTAGTCAAAGGCACGGTCATTGCCTGTTTCGACGAGCTCGCTCAAATAGAAGATTGTCATTTAGTGGAGGAAGCAGCAGCGTCTACTATCACTACACCGAAATTTGTCGACGTTAGTCCAACGTTATCTCCCATTGAGCGAAACTGCCTTCTCACGCTGATCAAGAAGTTCCACGCCTGCTTGTCATCCACATCAAAAGTTCATCAAACGGAACTGACGAAACACCGCATCATCACGGATTCCGTCGCCAGACCCATCCCGCAAAATCCTTATCGCATCGCCACAAAAGAGGGTGAAGCAATTCAAAAAAGGTAAAAACGATACTGGAAGATGGTGTTATTCGGCGATCTAACAGTCCTTGGGCATCACCAGTAACACTCGTAAAAAAAAAGAAAAGGACGGCAGCTTGTGTTTCTGCGTCGACTGCTGGGAGCTATATCAGATCACAAAGAAAGACGTCTATATTCTGCGGCGTATTGATGATTCATTGGATAGACTACAAAACGCACGCTAGTTTTCGTTCATGGACTTGAAAAGCGGCTACTGGGAAATTGAAGTGGATGAGAGAGATCGTGAGAGGGCTGACGTGGCGAACTTCCCGACGCCTTCAGACAAAAAATCAGTGGGACGTTTTTTGGGACTCTGTGCCTATTATCGGCAATTTATTGCCAATTTTTCGCGCATCCCATAACCATTGACACAGCTTATTCGGGAAAATATGCCCTTTACCTGGAGCGAAGACCAGCAGCAGGCATTTCACGCGCTTCGACAGCACATGTAAACACCGCCCGTGCTCGCCAACTTAGATGAAGATGCGCCAACAATACTACATACAGACGCAAGTAATGTGGGTCTTGGAGCAGTGCTAACTCTTACAGTCAAAGGACAACAAGAAAAAAGTGATCGCCTACGCCAGTTGGACGCTGTGCCGATCAGAAGATAACCATACTACGACGGAGAAAGAACGTCTTGCAATAGTGTGGGCAGTCCTGAAGCTTCGTCCTCATTTGTACGGCCGCCCATACACCATTATCAGCGATCACCACTAGCTCTGTTGGTTAATCAACTTGAAAAGATCCATCTGGCCGTCTTGCATGCTGGATTCTTCAACTCCAATTGACTTCACTGTTACCTACAAGTCGGGAAAACGACACACCGATGCCGACTGTCGTTCTTGATATTCCGTTGAGATGGCATCGCCTGATGATGACGACGACACGGCCTTTTTGGGAATTGTGGACACTGCCGCCTTTTCTCAACAGCAGCGTGACGACCCTGTACTGAAACCACTCATAAATTACCTACAAGGGCGAACGAATA